CGGCCTCAGCGAGCGCGACCGACGCGAGTCGCAGCCGCCACCGCCGCTCTCCCCGCGCTCGCCGCACGCGCTGCCAGGCTGCGCGGCCCTCTCTCTTCTCCTCTCCTCCCCGCCCGCTGCCGCCGCCGCCCTCGCCCCCGCCTCCCTCCTCCGCCGAGCTTCCCCGCCCGCGTCGTGGCCAATCGGAGGCCACCGAGCTGCGGCTGTAGCCGGCCAGATCCACGGCAGCCGTCCGCCCCCGCCCCGCCGAAGCACCCCGTTTTTGCTGCAGCCCGCGGGGGGTCGCCGGAGGGAAGTCTGGGGTGCGTGGAACACCGCCCTGGCAGGTGGAGGGGCTGCGGGAAATAAAATAACTTGCACAGGAACTTGATGGTTGGCAGGTTCATCGTTGGACCGCGATGAGGGATTAGAGATTAGGAAGGGAGGGGGAATGCCTCCGAGGTAGCCGAACGCACGCTTCTCTTTCTGTTTTGTCATTCTTTCGAGATAGATGATTTTTCTGGGTAGGGACAGACACAGCAAACTAGCAACGCAGGCAGAGCCCACCCTGGCCATTGTTGTCTGAGGTGCTTGCCATGAGCCACCTGCGGGCCAGGGAGGGCGGAGGCCGCAGTTTCTCTTCGGCGCTAGTACTTCTCCCACCTTTGCAGATGTACTGGAATAGCCCAAGTTTGTGTGTTGTTTCGTTTTCTTTTGTTCCCTCTGGGAATTTGAGAGTGCGCGTTATTTTATTTGAAGTCTCCCGTTTTATATTTCTACTCGTCAGTGGTACTGTTCACAATTTTTAACAAACAGTTTTCAGGGAGTTTGACTTCCTTGCTTACACCACCTTCCAACATCATCAACAAAGAAAACCAGAAGAAATAGAAAGAAAGGGGTAAACAATCTAAAAGCCAGAACTGTCTGTGAAAATAGGATTATCTAAAAGACAAAATGACATTACAGAGTTCGCACCCAGGAAAGGAGTTTTGCTTCCTCTCTGTAAGGCATGAACTTGGAGTGGGACACAAAAAGTGAGAGACTTTACAAGTTTGGGTCACAAACATTTGTGAAATGGAGGGAGGGGTGAGGAGTAACTGATTTGGGCAAGATAATACATTTTTTCCAGAACTTTTTTTTTTTTTTTAAGTATTACAGGTAAATAAAAATACCGGTTTTATCTAAGCGTTTCCATACTCTGGAGGTCGTCGAACTTCGTTGCAGTTAATGAACATTATTCCTCTGCTTTGGGTAACTGAAGTATTAACATTATTTGAATTTGAGTTTCAGGATACTGATCATTTAAGAACTTGATGAATCTCTAAAAATCAAGTACTAATTTCTTTGACATGAGTGATGCAGCTTTTAATAATGTACAATTGCTGGCTAGGCTTTTAAATTTTTAATATTCATAGGGAAGCTTATTCAATTTTAATTAAAACATAATATTGTAGGCCATTTTTAAAATGGATCTCAAAAAAATTTCCTGGATTTTCCTCTCAAAAGAATAAGGAAGGTCATGTTAATCAATTTAAAGATGAAAGGTGAGGCTTGTTCTTTCTCTTTCTCTTCTTTGCTAAATATTATTGTCACACCATTGCTAATCGGCCTAAAAGTTCTCCTTGCAATAGGATATTTATAAGTTCCAATTTCAAGGAACTGTACATAATAGTAAAACTTTCAGTAGCAATATGGATATACTGTTTGTTGTATCACCAAGTGGCATTTATAGAACCTGTCTTCATGCTTAAGAATTAAGCTTTGATCCTGGACATGAGACCTTAGTTTACATCCTCCCCACTCCCAGCAGTAGCCATTGATGTTTATTGCTGTTCTGATTACTTTAAAGTTAGAACAGATTTCAGCCTGAATAACTCTATTGCTTGTTAGTATTATTTGCTAGAAGCTTTAAACATCATGCCCTTATAAATTAAACTCTTACTATGACTTCAAAATCTGCTTTGGAATGCCTGTCAGCTAACTAATTCTCTGATTCCAATAGTTTTTTGATCATACAGATAAGAACTTGCAGCATTTTTAAAAAATTTGGTCCAACTTGCATGGATCTCCTTTTTCAATGGTTGTGAATTGCTTTGGAATCTTGTCTGAGATTAACTTGATCACATGGTCAGCCACATCTTGCTAATCAGCCTTTTATCACAAGAAGGAATAGCCTAGTCTAAAATCATGTTATTGGAGACCTTGTGCATCCATTTGATGTTCATAAAATTAGATCTAGTGTTGACTTTGGTACGCAACACATCCTTGCCTCCATTGTACCATAGTTAAGATAATCTAATGGGGCCATTCATTTCACTAGGCAAATGGTGACCGAACTCTTAAGATTTTCAGCTTCTGATCACAGCACTGTCAGTCAAAAACTAACTTTCCATCAGCCTAAAGAACTCCAGGGCTGCAGGGGGCTTGGCAGTGACCCAGGGAAACAGCCAAGTGGTGGGGAAAAAGGGAGAAGACAAGAAAATAACAAAAATTAAGTCTGAGTTCATACATTAAAAATCAGTCTAATCCTTTGATTTCTGGCGCATGGGCTGCTGCTGATTTACTACAAGAAGTCTGCAAATAAATATGTGCACCAAGCATCATGGACAGACTGAATAAACCATGTGTCCTGCATCCATAGCCAGTCTTCATAGATAGATAGATAGATAGATAGATAGATAGATAGATAGATATCATGATGATTCAGTTTTAAAATTTTATTTCAAAGTAAATCGTAACAATTTTTTGTTCTGGTGTATTTTCTCAAACTGGAGATGCTAAACCTACAAATACATCATGCCAGTGTTTTCGTATAAAAGGGTCCTCACTTTGGAAACAAACCACAAATAGTAGTAGTCTGCCTGCAGCCCCCCACATACAGCCTCTCTTCGCAAATGCCCAAACACTTGTCTTTACCCTGCAAAGGTCCTTCCCAGATACTGAATGAAGGCACTCCTTCACTTTTCCTCCTTCTCTCAACCTCCTTTGGAAGCTAGGATTGACCCTTATCCCTTAGGAAATGTCCTGCATGTTGCAAGTTTCTCCCCAATTAGCTTTAGTATATTAAAGCTGACCTTTCCTGGGCAATACCCGTTTTATAGAGTTATGGAATGTTTTAATTAAAGTTAAAGAGGATCTATGCAACCCCCTTATTTTCTAGGAACACTGAAGCTTAAAGAGGTTCACAAGGCTACCCACTGGCAAGTAGGGAACCCCAATGAGACACAGGTTCTCTTACTCCCTGTCCTATGTAAGCTCTTTACATTAATCTCAACAGTCCCTTTTAACTTTAGAAAAATCAATGATACGAAATGAGAGGAAGGTTTAACAAAAACAAGAAAAAGAAAATTTAATGAGGCTGGGGATTTGTCCTTTATTTCTCTTAGATATTTTGTTCTTTGCAGTGTATGTAACATGGGGCACATAACTGCTTTTCTCTCTGCGGGTCTCAGTTCTCCGGTGCCTTTTTCAGTGTGATCATCTCACCATATTTAGTGTGATTCTGGCGTTTCAAGATTCATATCTTTCATACAACCTGGCTGCTGAGTACAAGCTGGCTGTTCATTTGGCACTCTACCAGGGAAGTCGCGATCTGTCCCAATACTAGAAGAAAAACCCGGCTTTATTTTTTTTTAACCTACTCTTATTTGGGGGATATTATTTACCTTTCTTTCCTTTATTTAAAATTTTAATTTTTTTATTTTTTTTCTTTTCTTTTTTAGGTTTTTGGGGTTTTTGTGCTTTTAGTATTTGAAAATCAAACTCAATGTTTCCATGGAAAATATAACCAAGTAAGTAACTTGAAGCACTTATGGTCAAGTAAGTGAATAAGGGAGTGATAAATTTCCATGACCAGGGAAGCAATTCACAAGCAGCCTTTATATTACAGGGAGCACCCCTTCATCCCCCAGAAGAATCCCTTCTGGAAGGTAAAAGGGCATAATAAACAGATTATGATTTTGAATTCAGGGGGACCTAGCTCTATGAACTTGGTTGAGTTTCTCAACATTTCTAAGGGTCTTTTTTATGATCTCTAAAATGTGGATAATATATCAGTATTTCTTAAGAAAGCCTGATATGAACACAGTGGAACATAGTAAGGCATTGGCATTTTATGTATGTGTATTACATAGCCTTATTTCCATTGAGGATTTGGAATGGAGTTACTCAGTGAATGTTCCTCTCACCTCCTGCAGTACCGTTTGCAATGAAAACAAACAAATAAGGCTTTTGGGGAGGCTCAGATTTTACAAAGCAACACAAAATCTCTAATGTAGATAATAATGGCTGAATAAATATTCTACAGACTGACAAAAGTAATAAATATTTGGTGGCTTTAAAAGGTGCATAAAAACATTAAGAATATTAAGGTATTAGTAGGAAACTATCTTAAATATTAATGTATTGATTTTATATAGGAAAACAAACTCATTTTTGAATTGTCTCATCAATTGATAATAGCAAGACCGGGACTAAAACTTACTTTGCTTAGAACCTTTCTCCAGAGAACCTGATTTGTCATTTCTCGAACCACTTTCTGTGTGTTCCCAGAGTCAAGATTTCACAGTTGATTTCAGAGCCCTGCTTGAACATCAGCTGTATTTGAGAAAATATAATTTGCATGACATTCAAGAAATCTACCTTCTGCTTGGGAAGCATAGGTAGTTATGGGATAACAGCAGCACTTGGGATTACTTCAGAATCAGAAGGCCTATTTCTCAAGATAAACGTTTCTGCAGAAAATAAAACAAATCATGCTGAAGACTTTGGTAACATTGGTTGTGCCAAACCTTTGCCCTTGTGTCCTTTTAAAAGCAAAGATCTGCCTTCTGGAAGGTTCCAAAATATAACTGTCAGGGTTTAGAGGATACTAAAACATATTTAGTATCTGAACTTATACTGACTCTGTGCCCTTTCCTCCAGTGAAATTCAAGGCAGTTGATAAAGTATTTTTTGGACTCAGGAGATCATTGTTCTCTTCCCAGATCTATGGCTGGCTGGATAATCTTAAACATGCCACTTAATGTCTTTACATATTTTCTTACCTATACAACCTAAATAGTTCCACTTTCCTCACAAAATGCTGAGTGGTCTAAGAAAATAATGTCAGTAAAGCCTGTTTAGTTCTTTAGAGAGAAGTTTTAGATAAATATATGGTACTCTTTAAGGCTGTGGATTCAGCTATCACAAGAGGAATGATTATTTGGTACCTAAAGTTAAGTCACATTTTTTTTAATGTTTATTTATTTTTGAGAGAGAGACAGAGCATGAGTGGGGGAGGGGCAGAGAAGGAGACACTGAATCACACAAGCTGTGAGATCATGACCTGAGCAGAAGTCAAGCCACTTAACCGACTGAGCCACCCAGGTGCCCCAAGTTAAGTCACATTTTAATGATGTGGCACAACCAACAAGCTGCCTTGTGCTTATTAAATCATTCTCCTTTTTTCCCCTGGACTCACCCACAAGTTTAAAAAATAATATATTTATCTGCCTATTACAAAGCCCAACACATGCTCATCCATAGATATTTGAGAAAATTATATTCAGTTAAACACACCATAATCATTCATAGAGGATTTCTTATATTACAATACAATCTGGAAAGATACAGTCTAAGTTATCCATTTAAACAGTGAACGTAAAAAATCAACAATAGTCCCATTTATTACAGAATTTGCACTGTATGTCACTGTGATTCATCCTTTCCATAGCTCAAAAGAGCTGAGTGATTATCATAAATAAGCATTTTCTTTCTGGGAGGTCTATTATTTTGAATCATCCTTGAGAAGCTTTTTAGAAAATCTATTTGTGGGAGATGGGAATATTCTCACTTCTAAAGTAGCTGGCCAGCCAATAATAAACATGTATTTGTGTTATCCAAGCCATATGAAATTTCAAATCCTTTGAGGCCTACTAGAACCTGAAATGACTTCAGGCGAAGGAAGAATTCTTCAAGGATTCTGGTCCTCAGGACTATGAGGAAAGGGGTGAGCAGCTGGCAGGAACAAATGAGCACAGCTGGACATCAGAAGAAGGAAAGAACCAAAGCATCTGAAGTTTGTGCTCTGTCATGAGAGAAGGGGCTTATGATGTAGACAGAATGTTAACTATGGCTAAACTACAGGCTAGGGGCAAGATCTTAATCCTAGTAATTGATCAATAAATGTTCAGTTTTCGAAGTGAGTCATACCAAAAACAAAAAAAAAAAAAAAAAAAGAGAGAGAGAGAACATGGAATTTGGACAAGAGTGTGGGATAGCCTTGTAGCATCCAAAACTGACAGGAAGGTCCACATAACAGGACAACTGATAAGTAACAATCATCCAGGGCGGTTCAGAATTCTCTCCCAGAATTTGCACATCTCTAGATAAGGCCACATCATCATCAGCAGTAAGAAAGTGTCACTCTGAGATGCTTGCTGGTGGGGATGTGTGCTGCTATTCCCAGTTCTCAAATTGTTACATCAAGAAATATTAAAAACCTATTATACTTCAAAAATTCTCCCTCTTGAGTTGTTTTTATAAAGTTGGAAATTATGTAAAATGGCTTTTGGTAGTTATAATTACCAAAAAGGCTATAGCCTTTTTTTTTTTAATTCAAAATAAACTCTATCCATATGTTAGTGAGATAGTATAAGAAGGTATAAGTTAGCTTCTTTAATTTTTTTTATTTTCTGGATGTAGAACCTCACAGATGGATCCTTAATTTTCTTATCTCTCTCGTTTTTCTCCGTTCCCTGCCCCCTTCATTCTCTCTCTTTTATATACATTTTCTGGCAGATTTATTTAGCTTTTCTTCCAGACTTTCTGTTGAATATTTGGTCATATTTTTGATTTCCAAGAGTTTTTGTTTGTTCTCTGATAGTTTCTTTTATAGAAACTTGCTCTTGTTTCATAAATGTAAGAGCTTCTCTTATCTTTCCATACTACTTTAAAAGTTTTCTTCCATTTCCTGAATTATCTCAGTTTACTCTCTGTTGCTTTTCTTGCAGTGTTTATTTTTGTCTCTGTCTTTCATGTCAGAGGCTTTCTTGGGGAAGTGGATTATGTTCAGTGTGCAGAATTTCACTCGATCCTCCCAGTTTTCCTTAAGCCATCCTACCCGGCCTGCACTTTGCTTCGGTGATGGGTTCACAGACTGTTTCTAAGATGTCAAGAACCTTCTTAGAACCAAAGTCTCCTAACCACTGTCTTCTCACACTCTGATGAAATAGGAGTCATTACCCCTCCACTTACAGTACATGCCTATGCCGGTATGGGTCCTGGAACTAGTTTCTGCCCTAGAGAAGTATTTAAAGGGCCTCCCCAGCTGAGACAGGCTCAAGCCACACTGCACTCTGCTGGTGGCTTGACCTTATTTTTCTCTTTCTAGATTTATCTGTGACTTATTCCTTGACAGAGGTAGGAAGAAGCCCTAGGTGATTATCTGGAGCCTGGATGCCTGCTGATACTTTTTCCCTGACTGGATATATACACATCAGTCCCCAAGTTATCCATGGAAGCAGCTTAGGATACCATTGTGATCTAGCCTTTACTGAAGTTCATGAAGAACCCCCACCACCACCACTCCCCACTGCCCTGTTATTCTCCATGTTCTGGGAGAAATAGTGTTTCCTTCACATATTACCTAGTCCCACTTCACTGTTTTAACACCTATAGTTTGCAGCTTAAAACAAACAAACAAACAAACAAACAAACAAACAAACAGACAAACAACAAACAAAACCCTTCTAAATCCTCTATCCTCAACATAATATAAATAATAGTTATGAAAACCATTCTTAAGTTTGTCCCACGTTCTGTTGAAGCAATCCACAGGTGTGTATTCATCCTCATGTGTTCACTTGTGTTTGCACTAGCTGAAACAATCCAGAAAGCAGTACTTATCCATATAATATGGATGGAATAGTATTTCAAATAGACTAATGAAATATAAATTTACAATATTGGTAATCCAAACCTCAAATCTGGAGTAGTTGAGAAAAACAGACTTCAGTAACTAAGGGATCTGCCACAATGATTTCAACCTTTTTTTTGGATGCTGTTGTCACACAGTATGTGTGTACTAAAATGTCCTAGAAAAAGCATCATTTTTTGGAATGAAAAGAGCATCCTATAAATGTATGTGAATCAATATGTGCCCTTGCCCCAAATATTGTGACAAATTCCTAGTGGGGAAGCCCATCACTAGTATCCTCCCTAACGTTCCTGCTGTTGAGAATCATTGATTGAATATTTAATTCCTCTTGCCTTTCCCTTAGTGTGAACCTTCTATTATTCATCTGAAGTCTAATGAGGTTGAATTTCATAACCTTATTGTTCAACAATGTGCCACCACTTCACCTTATAGTGACTTATAAAGATTTTATACACATGATGATTTCAAGCTTGGAGTTAAAAGGGATATATTTACATCCATTAAACAGCTGTGTAGAAATTGTTCACCATTTCATCAGAAGTTATATTTCCAGAGAATCAGTTCTAAAAAATGTATTTCTTCTGCTTAGAATGTCCAGTGTATCTTCTAGTAAAATTGGGTAGCTTACCACTCACTAGTAGCAACATAGAAGAGGAAAAAGCCTATTTTTAATTATTAAGAAAATACTTTCTCTTTAAAAAAAAAAATAAGGGACTTTAAAAAGCTTGTGTCCAAATTGGATCACTTATCTGAGAGTGAAACAAAATATAACACAGATCCTGCAAATCTTTTTCTTTTACTCTTAGCTCTACAGAGGACAGGAAGACGTCAGAGCTACTCTGCACAGACTCCAGAATTTGTAGGAAAAGAAACGAAGGGGTGGTGACAGGCTGGCAGCGGGGGAGAACCATGGTGAGCAGGAACACGGACACTTGAAGCCTGCAGTGAGAGTTTCCAACTCAACATGCCTGGCAAAAGTTAGCAATGAATAGATGATGAATTGAGATAGCTCCTGCCTGAAGGAAAGCAACCTGCTTAGATCTGAATAAGCAGGAAATTCTTCAGTTTGTTCAGCAGAACCTAGAAAAGATAACCCTAGAATCTGGCTAAAATCCTAAAGGCATTCCATGTAGTACACGTTTTTTGGTTTGTTTGTTTTGTTTTTAAGAAGCACAAAATCAGGGTCTCCTGGGTGGCTCAGCTGGTTAAACATCTGACTTCAGCACAGGTCATGATCTCATGGTTTGCGAGTTCGAGCCCCACATCGGGCTCTGCGCTGACAGCATGGAGCCTGCTTGGGATTCTCTGTCTCCCTCTCTCTCTGCCCCTTCCCCATCCGTGCGTGCTCTCTCCCTCAAAGTAAATAAACTAAAACAACAACAACAACAACAACAACCCAAAAAGAATCACAAAATCAACCTAGTTGCTTGCATGTTGTACACCATTAAGAAATCACTTTGCATTCCTCTTTAAGTCCTAAAGTTTAAATTGCTGATGGCATCTCCTATAATCAATATGGCAAAATCGGATTATTACCAAAATTAAAGTAAAAAAACAATTGCTATTTATAGTTTTCCAAAGTTAACATTAAAAAGAAAAAAAACCAACCCTGAATTAAAAAAAGTCTTCACTAACAGCAAAAAACTCATGTGTGGTCCTCCAAAATGTTGCATTTATTTTAAACAACCAATATCATAATTACTAGTTTTTCCAGAAATCAAACTCTTAAAATCTTTATGCTATTTTTCAAATATAAAAATAAATGTTTTGTATCCTTAGTTACCAGTTTCCCAATTCCTGTTTTCATTTAAAAATATTTGCTATTGACCACAGTTTTCTTCCCTAAACATTTTTCTTTGTCCTCCTTTGAGTCAAATTCATAGCAAATATACTTTCTTAGCTCTGTGTGACTGATGCTATTTTTAAAAATCTGTATATATCTGAGTCAGCTTATAATATCTTAAAAACAAAACAGTGAATAAAAAAGGCAGTAAGGAGGAAGTAGGTGGAGAGGAAAGAACAAAAAGATACTTAGTTATTCACACTGCTGACTCTTTCTGTGCTTTCTTTAAAAGTCTAATCCTCAAACAGGTGTAGTGTGGCCAGGCTCTATGAGCCAGCCATTAGGAGGTGCTCATAGTTTAGAACAAATTCTTCAGACCTTTAAGGCTACTTGTCATCTCATTTTTGTGCTTTTTTGCCAAATTTATCTTTAATTTTAGAAATTTTATTTCACTCGAACTTACCACTTGTAAAAATTGTCAAGCTGACAGGTCTGGAAACCAAGGTCATCCAATTAGGCCAAAACACAAAATGCTTCTATGGCATCTATCACCACAAAACACCAATAGGCCCTTAGACAAACACATCAGATTAAAGGAAAAACATGTATTTGAGAAGGAACAACTTTCCAGCTACTTTACCTTCAGACAGATAAAGCTGATGATAATTGGTATAGAGCAGTGGTCTTCAGGAAGTTTTCCCAAGGGCAGCATCTAATTTTGTAAAATAGAAGGGTACGTTTGTATCCTGAATATGCCTCCAGGGTAGAGTCTACTCTCATAAAGCAGGTTCACAGCTGTTTATTATGGACACTGTTCAGACTGTGAACTATCCATTCTGTTTCCACCATTATTGCTTTTTATTTACTATATCAGACCCACACTGACTGGCTCCTTGACAAGTGTTCAGCAAAGATATGAACATGCATGGCACAATACAGAGTCAGAGACAAGCAAGGCCCCTGGAATCCTTGGTAGGCTTCCTTTGCCAATGAGTCACTGTTTGGAGGAGAGAGAAAAGGATTTTAGGCTGGTTGTTTGTAATAGAAGTTATTGTTAATGGATTATAGCTATCTGTACAAGTACCAAAGCTTTTAGAACACCGTGCATGCATTACTCAAATGATTTTAGGATGGCTTCAGTGATCTCTTATCAGTTATCAAGTTCAGTGTGACAATAAAACATTGACACTGAAACATTATGTTTTCAAATTTTTGTATTAAAATCAACCAACACAGAAAATTTAAAAAAATCATACAACTAATAAAATAGAGAACCAGTTAAAAAATATTATTACTTGGAGTTAACGTCTGATGAACAGGCATATTTATTTTACTTTCCTATTTTTGGTACCCAACTCACAGTAAATCTTACGCGCCTGTGGTTTTTTTTGTTTGTTTGTTTTCTTTTTTGTTTATTGGTTTTTTGTTTTTTTGCTTTTTTTGAGTTTTTTAGTCTGCACTGCGTAGTGTGGATCATGACACCTACTGGCAGCATAGAATTTTGCACCCTAGTTCCATAAGACACTGAAGCCCCTGTTACTTAAGACAGGTAAGGATATTTCAAATCTATGCTTGTGTTATGAGTCAATAAGAAACTCTACCGGAAAAATTGTATCTTGGAGTATGACTTTTGGTTTGGATAGGCTACATTATGCTGTGCTAACAAACATGGCCTAAAACTCAGGGGCTTAAATTAACAAAGATTTAATTCTTGCACATACTGCATGTCTGTTACAAGTTATTAGTAATGAAAAGTGTGAAATGAAGGTTGAAAGTCAATTCCATCTCCAGCTGCACTGTTACCTACCAGCCTAGCGTTCCCAGGAGAGTCACTCATTGATTCGAGATATCTTTTTTTGTCTGTTGAGCAGGGTCTTTCCATGTCTGTGTCAGTTCTGTGCTACTTTAATTGTTACAGCTTTATAAATATATTTTTTAAGCTTATTTATTTAGTTTGAGAGAGAGAGCAAGAGCAAGTAAGCAGGGGAGCGGCAGAGAGAGAGGGAGAGAGAGAATCCCAAACAGGCTCCGCACCCTCAGCACAGAGCCCCATGTGGGCTCACAAACTGTGAGATCATAACCCGAGCTGAAACCAAGGGTTAGGCGCTTAACCAACTGAGCCACCCAGGTGCCCCAACTGTTACAGTTTTATAATAAGCTTCCTATATGGGAAGACTTATTTCTTCCTCTAATTGTTGTTTTAAAAAATTCTGTGTTTTTCTTACTTGATTATGCTTCTGGGAGAAGTTTACAATATTTTTTGTTAAATTACCTTGAATTACAGTTGTTTTTTGTTTGGATGGCATTAAATTATGCATTAATTTGGTAATAACTGTAAAATATTTAGTCTTCCATATATGTCCTTTATATATCTCAAAAATATTTGTAATATTATTCATATGTTAAATGCATTTTATTAAAATAGGTCCTTGCCATCCTATTTTTGTTACAACAATAAATAAAATTTATTTACACAATTTTATTTCCACATTTGCGATTACCTGCATATAAGCATGCTATTGATTTTGTATTTTTCTCTTATAATAAATGTATAAAATGTTCATATAATGCCATTTTGCATTTATTTAAATGTCTTGCATTTATAGCTCTTAGCTTTGTGTCATGTCTTCCAGCACAGAACAAAGAAAGCATTCTAAAAAGGACATCATTATAATTTTTTTCCACATTTAATAGCAGTCTTCTTTGGGTTTAACCATTTGAAGTGTATTATGGTGACTATTTTTTAATAATACCATTGGTGTTTTCAAGAATTGTGAGACTGTTGAATATGTTTAGTGCCTTGTTCAAAAATTATGATTGTTTTTATTTTTAAAAAAATTTTTAGTTTATTTATTTATTTTGAGAGAGACAGAGAGAGTGGGGGAGGGGCAAAGAGAGAGAGAGAGAGAGAGAGAGAGAGAGAAATCCCAAGCAGGCTCTGAGTTGCCAGTACAGAGCCTGATGGGGGAACTTGAACTCACAAAATCATGAGGTCATGACCCGAGCCAAAACCAAGAGTCAGATGCTCACCCAGGTGCTCATGATTTTGTTTTTCTTGACTTAATGCTTTAATGTATTATAACAATAAATTATGTAATATTGATCCTTTTTCCACTTCTGAAGTAAATCTTACTTGATGATCTTTTTCTTATGAAGTGTTAAGTTCTACATTTTATTTGTGATTTTTAAAAGTCATATTTATTTGGAGATATGTTGACTTTTTTCTTCTATTGGTATCATTGGCAGAATCTGGTATTTTATTTATTTCTAAAAGTACTGTCATATTGTGTTTATTGCATAATTTTATTTAATATTTGCTAATAATGTTAGTGGACATTTGCTGTTACTCTATTTTTCTCTATTTATTTTCTTTTCAATTAATTTTATGACCTAATTCTTTCCTTATTTTAAAATGATCTTATTTTCTTCTTCTAAAATTTAGTTTATTTGCATTCTTCACAATGTACAGAGAATACTGATACATATGAATTCACTTTTGAATACCACTTTTAATGTTTTTATTACTTTTTACCTCTTCCTTGGTTCAATAGTTTTTTAAGAAAGTATGTTTTCATTTCTAAAGGGTTGAACCTTGTTTTCAGTACAGAAAAATTTATATTTTTTATTCCACTGTTGTCACTTAATATGGTGCATCATTTTGGTTTCTTTGAATTACTGACTTTGCTTTTGGTTTGGTATCAATTTTAATACATGCTTCTTACATATTTTATGTGAAAAAAAGTTACTGGTAATGTCAAGAACTGTGGAAAGTTGAGAATTTACCCCACTTGATGGCTAACAAGTTAGCTTCCATGGTTGTACAAATGTTGGGAGAAGATATGCAACTCTGGGGTCAGAGAGAAAGGATTTTATCACTCACAGTAGCAACAGTGGCTAGAGTATCATCATTTTTACGTAAGTTTTTCAGGCTGTGATTTCCAAAAGACAAGGTAAAGAGAACTAGATGACAACTACACACACAGTGATATCTTACAGGAGAGGAACCCTGAGTTTAGTGAAACTGATCCTTTTGTAAATGGCAGTAAGCATGTCTCTCCCAATGTTCCAGAGAAACATTGAATAGAGCTGTTTAAACTATATTCATTAATTTGTTTGGTCTTAGATAATTTTGTTGCCTAGTTTTTGTTTTTTTACCATTTGGCTTCTGTTCTATAGGCTATTTTGTTTATTTTTATCTTTCCAATGCTTTAGAAAGCAGACTTCCTGTGTTTAATTCTGTTAGTGGATATTTCATCATTATTAAGATATATTCATAACTATTTTTCATTAATCAAAATAGTAACACAGAGGACCTTGTTTATTAATTGGGCTTCTTTTATTTATTTCTTTCTCCATCCCATAATTCATATCACTATGTAAACTTTGCCAGTGTTATATTTATACATAGTCTTCTTACCAGGAGATTAGAGTTTTTAAGCTGCTGCATTTTTATTATCCTAATAATGCCAATTATTTTGAGTTTTCAGTATTAGCTTCATTCTCTGCCATCACATTTTGCAACAGCTGTTGGAACACTATGGTCACGGGTTGAAGGCCAAGAGAAGTATTCCTAAATTCTCCAGTTTCTTTGTGTTATGGAGCCAAGGTGGAAGTGAATCAGAATTCCAGTGGGTCTGGGAAACCAGCTCAATGGAATGAAGTTGACCCTTCTGCATGCACCATGCAGAATGATAAGGAAGTGGGGGATGCTAAGGGTTCCCTTCTATGGATGCCAAAATTCATAATGTGCTGCCAGGAGCCCTAGAAATGATCCCTTTCCTCCTGATCCAAAGATTCTATGGGGAGTGATGTCTGTTTCTATTTCCTCTCCCCTTCTTTTCTCCTCTTTCTAATGTCCTTACATCTCCAGTATCATCTCACCCATTACTGGCCTCAAGCTTCACAGTCTAATAAATTTCCTTTTTAAAGTAGCCCAAATGCATGGGAGCACCTGTCTTCATCTGTGTTCACTACCATAGCACCATAGACTCGGTGGCGATACAATAGAGATTTATTTTCTCACCGTTCAAGAGGTTGGAAGAGATCAGAGCGCCAGCATGATTGGGATCTTGTGAGAGCCCTCTTCCTGGCTTGCAAATGGTCTTCTTGCTGTGTGCTCACATGTCCTTTCCTCAGTGTGTGTGCTTCGGGAGAGAAAGACAGAGGAGAGAGAGAGAAAGAGAGAGAGAGGTCAATCTTCATTTAAAAAATTTTTTTTTTCAAAGTTTTTATTTATTTTTGGGACAGAGAGAGACAGAGCATGAACGGGCGAGGGGCAGAGAGAGAGGGAGACACAGAATCGGAAACAGGCTCCAGGCTCTGAGCCATCAGCCCAGAGCCTGACGCGGGGCTCGAACTCAGGGACCGCGAGATCGTGACCTGGCTGAAGTCGGACGCTTAACCGACTGCGCCACCCAGGCGCCCCATCAATCTTCATTTTATAAGGCCAACAATCCTGTTGGATTAGGACCCTACCCTTATAACTTCATTTAACCTTAATTATTTCTGTAAGTCTTATGTCCAAATACGGTCATGTTGAGAATTAATGATTCAACATATGAATTTGGGGGGACACATAACAGTACTGTAACCTTTGAGATCTTCATTTATACTATAATCTGGGCCTGAAAGCCCTTTCCACTTTTCATCAAGGGACCAATTTGTCCTCATCTTTCAAGACCAGCTCAAGGACACCCCCTCCAGGAATTTATGATTGAAACCTTGGTGGCTAGTGCTATGCGGTCCTTCCCTGTGGATAGTTCTCCCTTGTCTGTTAGTGTTGGATGAGCTCCAGTTTACCATAAACTCTTCAGGGCAAGGGCTAGTTTCTTACTTACCTTGAGACTTTCCTGTCTTGGGCAGTGTCTAGTTCAGAATAAGCCTGTAATCAAGGTTGGATAAACTTAAAGCACAGATACTACACCACTCATGTTCAATGAGGCACCTGAAAATCCTAGGAGAGACAGGAGTAGGAGGAGGAGGTGGAGGAGGTAAGGAGGGAGTGGTACCCAGTAGGAGCAGGGACCTGAGCCTGAGTGGCTGAACTCTGGATCTTATTGCTTGACCACCAGATTTCTCGGCCCACGAGCAGAGAGCCACAAGTTTGCATCAGGTGATGAAAATTGAATCCCTTCCCAGAAATAAACATTCTGTGAATTAGTAAAAATTTGCTGCAAAGGGTGCTAGCCTGCAGTCTGGCATCTGGGAAATTCAGCTGCATAGCTAAGTTGCCCGGAGGACATACACTTCATAAAGTGGTAGAAATCAGTATAGCAAAACTGTTAGGGGTCTATAGGGAATAAAATTCATCTCCCCATGCAGTCTTTTTTCATAATATCTCTTTGCAGTAAAGAAGGCCTCGTGATAATAAGAGTGTCCTTTATAGATTAAATGGGGATTGATGACCCTTAAATTTAGCTAGAAAATAATAATTTTTTTAACTCCAGCATGATCAAAAAATTTGATGTGCCTTTTAAGAGTATAAAGATGGAAAAATTATCACCAGCTTAATTATTTCCACCATTGTTTCGCATGCTGTACATACGCATTATAAGAAAGGAAAAAGTTTGGGGTCAAATCTTTTAGCCAGGCTCTTTTCTCTCTTTCAGACACACTGTACCCAAACTACATTCTCTTTTCTGTTCTAAAAATAAAACTAGACCTTGGATCAACAGCTTTTTTCACATGATGCCAAACATTTGGAGCGAAAGGAAATGTTCTTACATTCACTTAACAAAACTGCTCTTTTAGTTGGTTCACATAGATTTATTTTTGAAGACTGAATTGCTTGCTAATTTCCCAGTTAGAAGCTCATGTAATTGCCACATTAGCATCCTCTTCTATTCCCTCTTTGGATGCTCTCCTATAACCTGGCTTCAGCTGCTCTTGGGTGCGACCCAGGCCACCTTCACCAGGTATGTGCGGTATGGCCGGGCCGGTGTTGTTGGTATTTCAGAAAGTGCAAGCACCAGGAGCATGAACCCTTACTATCCCCTCTGCACACTCTCCCTCTTTAGTCTCTCCTTCCTAAGCAATTACATCCCAAGCAGCATGGGGTGAAGAAAAGTGGAGCTCTTTCTCAACAGCAGGGTATGAAGAAGACTTTATCTCAGCAAGGCTTAGTGTCTTTTCCGTTTCATTGAAGACTTAAAGACTAGAAACATTTTAATACAAAATACCATAATCTCTTTAAAGTATACTCTAGTGCTTTCATATTTCAGTTTTACTGCTATGAATATTTCATCTTGACTTCTTTTTAAAGCTAATTACGTAAAAAAATAAGTAAGGGAAGATATATTTGTCTACGTTATAGAGAAGCTTTAAAAAATCAACTTCTTAATTTATGATTTGGTAAATAGACCTGTGTGTAAGAGTGTAATTTATAATTTTCATCATTAAAATTTTTTTCCTATACCTGGTGAATCTACTGAATGTGTTGATGGCGACTTTTAAATTTAAGTAAATTCTTTAGCTTTAGTAAATTTTTGTCAGAGCCGAAATACTAAATTAACGTCAAGACCTTTTTGGTCAGAAGGCTGCTCTCAGTTCAGATAACAGTTTAAGACAGACAATGAAATAGATTTTGTTGACATAAGAACAGTTGTAACTGTGGTTTTGATTTTGCAAATAAAAAGCACCAACGTCTCCAAAAGTTCTTGTCACAATATTAGTTACATGATGCTATTTTCTTATAATACATCTGATAAATAATTTTAATAGTTTCCTTAATGAAGGATTAAAGAAAGATTCAGGTGCAAATAGGTATTATTTTCTAAAGAGCCATAGTAATGACAAAAGTCTAGAGTATTTATAAATATTTCAAAGTACGAATAGATGCCCTGGAAAAATTGCTTTCATTGACAACCGAATTAATTATGGTAGTTCTTTTATTCAAAGCCCTATTATTTGGCTGTAAAAATCATTGTAGGTTAAAAATGGACTCACTTTAGCTTCTCTATAGGTATACTATTTTACATACTTTTAAAAAATGGCCTTGATTCTTTTCAAAATGCGCTGAATACAAATATTCTAAAATATATGTATTTTCAAAATGGTACTCTGTGACATAAAATCTGAGTTATTTATAATTATTTTAGATACCATAATATATTTCAGATTTTTAAAACAACTTTGTAAGAATTAGCACGATCATAGTAGAAGTATATTAGGTACACACATTTGAATGTGCATTTCATACGTTATATTTATAAGAGAATGTTAGCTAATCTATGTCTTTAGTTTTTCATGCAGCTCTCCGGGAGACCAGAATGTGGCTATCATGGAGTCATTCGATTTTAACAGAGATCCTTTCTCTATAACTAATTCAACGCATGGCTATATGGGTAATTTTGAACAAGTGGATCTTTCTCCAACCTGAAAGGCTGCCAGGAGGGAGAGTGAGTGAGAAAAAGAGGGTTTCAAAGGAGTCACAGAGAACCACAAAGTAATCACGAAGCACTACTGTATTGCCACAATCCCCCTACAGAAGTGCATTGAGAAGTGGTGATATAGAACAGAAGAGGACACATCATTACAATGAAACACTCTATAATACTTGGGACAACAGTTGGGAATGATTTTGTCATCAAACAGAACAGCCGGAATTGTAGAAAGTTTGACTCTGTCTGTTATGAGGAATTTTTAAAGAGCTATGATAGCTCCCCTTGAATCTCATATAGCAGCGAAACATGAAATACAGAAGACTAGAAATGTAATGTAGAAACTGCATTGTAACCTTTATGTATTACATTTAATGAAAAAAAACCCTTTAAGCCAAATATTACACTATACAAGTATATAAATTATGATTATTCTAAATTTAGATACAACCATTTTATTGAATACATAGTGTTGGAATAAATTACTAAAGAGGGCTCAGTCTTCTAGCCCTGTGAAATCCTAGCAAATGAAATCCATTTTGGGTCACATCAGAGCACCAGTGCTATAGTGAAGGGAGGAAAACCTGATTTTGCAAATGTCATTGGAAATACTTTAATAGCACCAATAAAATGAACAATCCCAGGGGCACCTGTGTGGTTCAGTCGGTTGAATGTCTGACTTCAGCTTGGGTGATGATCTTGCGGTTTGGTTCATGAGTTCGAGCCCCGCATTGGGGCTCGCTGCTGTCAGGGCAGGGCCTGTTTCACACCCTCTGTCCCCCTCTCTCTCTGCCCATCCCTTGCTTACGCTCTGTCTCTCAAAAATGAATAAACATTAAAAAAAAGGAAAAACCCCAAGGAGTTATAACAGTATCATTGAATACTTAATGTTACTGCCATTGCTGAATTTCAATAGAAAGAAAGCCAAACATATAATGACTGGGGATTATGATAAAGACTGATTCTTGAGAATAAAGCAGAAACCTTATTGTAACAGGGCCTGATGGGCCATTGGAGTGACTTGATTCTGAGTCTGGAGTTTTGGTCTGACGTTGCTTAAATTTTCCTTACCAAAGTTGAAGATTGATGCTAGGTCCTGGAGTCAGGAGTGAGGCTGAGCCCACCAAGGGGGACTACATTTTTCATATGAAATCTCTTCATGATGTAAATTAGGCTTAGTATTGTGGGAGTAAGTGATATGTTAGAAATACTGTTTAGTACAAGAGTAAAGACCAGGTCAGTCATGGTTTGGAATTCATTCATTCATTTTCAAATATTGTACATGTGCATGGAAAATGAATTCTAGCATCAATATTTGTCTATAACTTCTGCTAAAAGGTACCTATTGAAAGAACCCAAGGAGGAAAACAATATGTTAAAAGGAGTGTTTTAGGAGAATTAGTTAATAGAAGGATTTCAGTGTGAAGTGACTAGAATCAGGTAGTATACTTAGAAACTTTCAGTGTTTCTAATTCAGGTGTGGTATGATAATATCTTAAAATTTTAATTAATGGGTTTGCTTTTCTACACATCCTTATACTTCATCTCCCTCTATTCAGTTAGGGGTATCATTGTCTAAAAGAAAATGAGGATTATTGCAACAAAGATGCAAAAAACCAGTCAATGCTAAGGTTTTGAAACTTTTTATGGGCCAGTAGAATTGCAGGTTAAGTTTTTCAATAATAAAAGTGGACATTATTAGAGAGAGAAAAAAGAGATTTGTATAAACAGCATGGGTCTTATCAAAAAGGGTAGGTTTAGAAGTCTATGTGTCTAGCCAGGATTTTTTTTTTCCTTTCCACCGGAAGCACACGCAAAAAAACAAAACAAACTAAAAGACAACTTCCTGACCTTGGAGGAGGAGAGGAAAGGTAAAGAAACGAATAGCAGAATAAATTAAGGCTCAGGAGGTTGAGAATCAGGGCTTCCATCCTGCCCTCTCCTCAGGTCAATCCCTGATGAGTACAGATGATCAAAACTCCACTGATGTTTGGGGGAATCCAGGAAAGAGATGCATCTCACAGATTCCAGATACAGTAGGGAGACCTCAACTCTTGAGATAAACTCTATATGGAGCATGGAACACAAGTTGGAAAGTAGAAATGGCTACAGAACAGCATGTAAGAGTGTTGCAAGCTCTGAGACGGGCAAGTCTGGCACCCGGTCAAGCTAAGGAGGAAGCAGAGTGAGCACATATTTGGCCATGAGCAGAGAAGGGCATTTTCAGTCATGCATGCAATGAGCGGGGTGCCACAAAACCAAAGGCCAGCCATGATCATACCTCTCATCAGAAATCAAGGTGGGTGGATGCTGATCACTATGGACCAAAGCTTTCAATGGTGAGGGAACATCGGAAGCAGCTGGACTCCCTGTTGGAACCCAGATTCCTGGACCGCTCATCCAGAGTTTCTGATTCAGTAGGTCTATGTGGAGTGGGGTCCAAATATTGACATTTCTAACAAGTTCCTGGGTGGCACAGATATTGTGGGTTGAGGACCTCACTTTGAAAAGCACTATTCTAGATTAAATGTCTTTCTTCCAAACTTAAGGTGGTATACCCTCCTCCCCCGCCACACACACACTCAGAATATAGATGGCCCTTGGAGAGAGATGTGAAAGACAAGGGGACACATTGAGATAGTCTGAGAAGTTACCAAAAAGAGCATGAATTTATAACTGAAAGTACTAAGTAATCACCGATTTGAGAGAGTGAGCCTCGATTTCCACATAAAATTCACCACTATCAGCAGAAATTTGGCTCGGGGGCCAAATTCAGTTCAGTTATGGAGAAATAAAGTAATTTACTATTTGTACACCTCAGTTTTGTTACCGTGAAAATTTGAGCCCAGTCTGCTAGTGCTTAGCACAAACTGTGTACCGAGATACAAAAACAAACTTAGAACTCTTGGAGAGGAAACATCCAGAAAAGATGTTTTGGTCCTTTGCTACAGTGAAGCTTTGTCATACAACACTTTGCTTTTTAACTGACATGGGAGTAGGATGTTTCCATAGCCCTGGTACCACCATTCTGCTACTCATCCCCTGGGCCTCCTCGGAGAACAGAGAAAATAGGGGCTATGTCTGAGTGGACAGCCCTTCTGAGAGCTACGAGAAGGCAGAACATCTGTGTGCCTGGGAACACTGCTCCCACAGACATAGTTCTCCATCTGGGCCCCTGCACGAACAGACTTAGTGCCCCATTCATGACTTGCTCCGGGTCCTTGTGCACCCATGGCAAATAACAATGTTCAGTCTCCAGTGGAGTGGGATCCTCTTCTTTCAAGGGTCCAACATAAAATGTAAAAGGCTGTCAGATGGCATTTATACATAGGCAGCTGGTAGGGCTTCTCTGTTCAGTTGCACACTGGTTTGACCTCAAATCGGACTGTGCACCTTCCGTTTTGCATTTTCCCTTTGCAGACAAGAGCTAGGTCAGTAATTTATAACTCTTGTGAAGCTGAGTGCACATTTATGAGGCTTAGCTGAAATGAATCTATTACATGTTGCCTAACATCCCCAAGTCTTTCAGCCTCTGGAAGCCAACCTTTCCTTTGATACTCTCATACAGTTACACAAGCTTCCATCCCAACCCACCAATGGAAATTCAGTGTCGTTCCTTCCCCAGTATTTCTAAGGATTCCTCAAATGGCACAGGGTACGTATGCCTAAATACATGGTGCTGGATACACTGCCTACTCTGAACTCTGAATCTTTTTTGCTCTCTGTTTTTTTTAACCTATAGTTGTTTTATCTACATATCTAACAGCCTTCCCTCCTCATACTTTATCCAAGGCACAGTCCAAATGTCATGTAGACATTCCCCAAAGCTCCACTAATCCAGTCATTTATCCCTTTTCTTTTTTCTTAACTACTACGTGCCAGGGGATGGGTGCAGCACTAAAAATACCCATATTTTGGTGTACTGTTGTACATTTTTACAAAGTATGGGGATTTTCTCAAATGTAGGAAGTTAATGGATGACGGTGCTAGCAGGGAGCGGTAACACCTAACTCTTGCATACCAGTGTCAGATATCACCCTTTTGAAGCCACAGGGATTCCCTTCATGGACTCCATCGTTCTTTTGAGGACAGCCTCTGTGCCTTGTGCTTTGTGGTTGACTGATGCTCTCATTCTCTATGGAGGTCTTTCTCTGTCATCTCTTTTCCTCAAGTCCCAGAATTTTTCTAAAACTCTTCTCTCTGGAGATACCAAAAGAAGAAAAGAAAAATTGATTTTTTAAAAGTTACAACAAATCATGTAGCTTACTTTCTCTTATTTTAGTGCCTTTTCATAACCAAAAGTCCCAGGACACTGTTTGCTCAAACACAAGAGACAAGTCTTTTGGACAGGATTCATGACAAGTTAAGAGAAGTTTACACAGACCATTTTTCCATCATGGACAATGCAAGCCACCACTATCGATGTAGTGGATCAACAAAACACCCTATGTGATAGGTAAATGATCAGGTCCTGGGGATTTGATTATGACAGAAAGGCAGACAGTATATACTGCTGCCCTACTAAGAGAAACCAAATCTCTTTGCTGTGTTTTTTTCTTTAATAACATATTGAAAAAGCATTTGCCTGATCAATAGCTAAACAGCAGATCTCAGGAGGTGTTCATTTATGCCAAAAAAGAGATCACGTTTGGAGAAACAGCTGCAATTGGAGTAACTTCTTGAATATGTTTATAATAATCTACTGTCCTTCTCTGTGGCCATCAATTCAGTTAAATGTAGATATGATAGGAATCCTATGTCTGCCTAACTCTGGTACTGTTTTGGTGGCATGAGTCTGTGCCCTCTTTCAATTTACTTTACAATTTGGAAGACAGAAGATAGTGTCAGGGACTAATAATCATCCCTTCCCAATATCCCACAAGTCAAAAGAACCAATGTGGGTATTCTGGCATTGGCAGACTTTATTTTTGCCTACTATGCATTCAAAAAGTAAGGAGGTACACCTGGGTGGCTCAGTTGGTTAAGCATCTGACCTCTGCTCAGGTCATGATCTCACAGTTCATGGGTTTGAGCCCCTTATCGGGCTCTTTGCTGACAGCTTGTAGCCTGGAGCTTGCTTCAGATTTTGTGTCTCCCCCTTGCTTCCTGCCCTTACCGCACTCGTGCTCTTTCTCTTTCTCTCTCTCTGTCACAAAAATAAACATTAAAAAAAAGTGAGGCTATTACCTCATTTTATATAATGTAAAATCACTCTGGTTGGTAACTATAGGTCCCTTTGAGGAATCTCTAGGAAGGCTCAAGTTTATTATTTTATACATACACAGGGTACTTCTTCAAAAGAACCTGGTATACTCTTCATCCCAAGGCCTCTGAGTATGAAAACTGGGTGAGAGGCCATAGCTCTATTGCTCCCCAAATCTGAAAATGATACCTAAAATGTTTAAATTATAAAAATCAAGTAAGTAGTAAGAAGCAGTTCTGTTTCAGTCCAGTGGACACTATGGTCTACTCACCTCCACCAATGTTTCTTGTGGCTGAACTCATTCTGATTTTAACCTGCTGCCCATTTGGGGAATCATGTCCACTTGTCTCTGGTCTTCAAGCTTAAGAACAGCCACTTGGCCTCTGTAAGGAGACAGTTATCTCATTATCCCCCACTGAACTTAGGAAGCCTGTTTCAATTAAGTTACTTGTTATAATCATGCATGGCATTATGGGGTGTTTCTTAGTGCTTTGATAAAGGAATGTCCTTGGAGCCCATCTAGGTAACACAATGAGGAGATGAATGGCAGGTCACACTTGATAAATCAGTACTAACATTCTGTCTTTCTTTGTATACCTTCATCTACATTATATCCTAGAAATTCTTTCATTTGAATCTTATCTAGCTTCGACCACTATGGAGTTCAAATTTTAGTCTATTGACCAAGTAATCTGGTGAGCCACAATTGCATACTCGAACAGCAAACATATTTAATCCACAAATTCCAGGAAAGTGCAATCATGGTGATAAATATGACTTATTCCAACAATTTGTTTCTGTCTCCCTGTTCTAGGACCCTCAGGATCCATTCATACCATTTCGCCCCAGGTTTTCATCAATATAAATTAGCAACATCTTCCAATGTTTTTGATGGGTAAACTATCTTCTCTGAAGTAAGACTTCATACCCATTCTTCTGTGATCTGAGTGTAGTTATGAGTCTGGAAGCAGTGCAAGTTGATGAGACATATCTTGTGCAGAGTTAGCAATCCCAAGCAAGGTCATTTTTCTCAAGTATAGTCCTCACGCTTTCTTCAGACAGGGGAGAAAGGGTTTCTTCCACTTTTAAGAAGGCACAGTAGAATGTGAAGTCTCAAATCTGTCAGAATCTACCTCAAATCCCCGCTTTTTTTCAATAAGTACCCTAACTTTCATATAAGATACCAAGCAAAGCTGTGAATTCAATGTGCTTTATAATTCTGAAATATGCATCATGACTTTGAGTTCAGTTTTCAAATATATCAGCCATATATTTGGCTATAAAAATAGGAGAAATTTTAGGAACCTCTTTTGTTTTCTGATTATGCTATGAACTGAAAATTAAAAATCCCGAGCTTTTTGAGGCACCTGGGAGGCTGAGGTGGTTGACCATCTGACTCTTGATTTTGACTCAGTCATGATCCCAGGGTTGTGGGATCAAGCCCTGTGTTGGGCTCCACGCTGAGTGTGGAGCCTGCTTAAGATTTTCTCTCTCTTTCCCCCTGCCCTTCTCCCCTACTCACGTTCTCTCTATATAAAAAATTAAAAAAAAAAAAATAAAAAAAATAAAAAAGGAAAATCCTGAGCTTTTCAATTTCTTTTTGTAGAAAGAAGTGATACATCAGAAGCAGATAGGCTACCCTATAGGCCCTATAGTCATCACTTACAACCCATTGTTTTATTATACAGCCTCTTTGTATCCCAAATCCTTGCCTTTAATAGCCACTTCATTTCAGACAACAATAGTGATAAGTTAATGATTATTTAAAAGTCTTTGAATGCCATGGACCATGACATTGAGGTTATGTTAAGTTCAAATTTAATTAGGCACAAACTATCCCAGATCCTTCTCATTTTCAAAGTCTATTTTTTAGGACCACTTCAGTACCAAATATTTTCTCAGAGACTCCTACTGGACAAGAGCAGCTACTTGAAATATTTCAGACAGGAGAGGATTTAGTAGAGGGCATTAGAAGTTTTCCTAATTGCTAGAACGCCTGGAAAAGCAAAGGTCATGGGAGAGCTCTGTTAACTCTCAGATTCACCACTACCTTACAGAGTGGCAGGGAGTTTCAAGAGACAAAAAATTACTAGTAATTATACAAATGTAATACTAAAGTAGCTGATTCACTAGGAAACACCTGGAGGTCACTGCAGAAGCTCAAATCTGCTGAAGACCATGTTTCTACCCATCTTGATGTAGGAACAATTATATGAATTGTGCTTTCTCTCTTGCACCTTTCAAATCCTGCATGAATGCCTCTCATTGGCAAAATATAATCTAGAATCCAAGGGATTCAGAGAAAAGCAATGGTCAGGCTTTCAGCCACTGAAAATAGGGGAGGTTAAGTGTGGAGAAACCATGTTGGTTTGTACAAACAGCACAGACAGCATAATAAGCCTTTCTGACATAGTCTATGAGTTTGGTTTTTTAATGATTTTGTAAAAAAGGGACAACTAAAGGTATCTTTACATCTTTACCCATATGCTACACAGTGGATGTTGATTAAAAAGTTCGAGCCCCGCGTCGGGCTCTGGGCTGATGGCTCAGAGCCTGGAGCCTGCTTCCGATTCTGTGTCTCCCTCTCTCTCTGACCCTCCCCTGTTCATGCTCTGTCTCTCTCTGTCTCAAAAATAAATAAAAAAATTAAAAAAAAAAAGTTCATGGTTCAACTAACACAGAGAAAGAGGCATCAGTGACTACATGAATCCATTCTAGGTTGATTTCTGGTAATGCTATTTTGTGATTAGAAAAGAAAACACAGAAAGAACCACTTCTTGGTCAATTGTAGTGACATAAAAATAAATTAATGTATAAAAAATAACAAAAAGCAAGAGCAATGCAAAGCAACTAAAATTTTTGCAAAGTTCAGTTCTATCTTAAAAAAATATAGTCAAATAAATAAAGAATTAAATATTTGGATGAAAGCAGAATAAACGTTTAGCATCCAAAATAAAACATTTTTGTTGTTCATAATCACTGAGATAGAGTGTATGTTGGCTGAGTAGAACCTGAAAATGAATCAACAAAATCTTTTATAGGTCCATATTCCCTTCTTCCATCCTTAGAAAACATAATATTGAAATAATGTACTAGTAAAAAAATTAAATCACTTAATGAGATTTCTCACAATTACCAGCATCCTTAATATTTATAGGTGTTTGATAGTTTATAACCTTTAAATCTCCATGACATCTTCTAACACAGCGCTTGGATAGAATAAGTACCAAATAAATACTTGTTGAATTACTGAAAATGAATACAGACTGTACATTTTAAAGATTGTACCAAAAAATGGTAAACAGGCTTACTAATGTTCTTAAGCACTGAGCTAGAAATCAAGAAAGAGGCAGTTAATTTTAGCTGCCATGAGTCAATTCATTGTGTGAAGTTGGGAAAATCATTTCAAATCTGTTGAAATCCTTATTTATTTTCATAATAATGAGCTCTCTTACCTACTTCACAGAAATACCTTGAAATAATTACTTTTCTTTGAGCCCTTTGGAAGTAACAAGACTATAGTCTTACAATGTGTATTGATAACAATACCAGACTTTTATAGTAGTAAACAAGCATGTGGTACTTTATATATTTGTGAGGTTTCATTGTTATCTAAATCCAATTATATGAATATGAGGAAACAGTTTGATTACAACAAATTTCAAAAGCTTAGTTATTATATATGGGATATTGTTCATGTATTCAACAAATCTTCTCTTTCCACAAGGTCTGTTTAAAGTCTCACTGTCTTTCGTGTCTTGCCCAAACCTGAATTCTACCGCCAGCTATTAGAATATTGCCGCTGCTCCAAAATAGGCAGCTTTTACCCCATCAGATAAAGGACAACCTTTTGCTCCCAAGGGGCTTTCCTTCCATTATTTCTTGATCTCTTGGTAGTGCTGAGATGTTCTTGTCAGAAAGCTGTTCCTCCTTCTCAAGGATCTTATATGAATATATTTTAAAATCCTCAATAATGTTTAAAAATTATTAAACACCTTTATACTGGACGTCCATCTTCCCTTTCAACTATGTTCAATGAGAAAAGTTTTTAAGCCCCTAGTCCTCCAAATGAAAACTTGGTTATTTCTATAAATTTTGTAATCACTCTTAGGAAAAAGAAAAAAAAAAGTCCAGAGGTCTACCCTGTCTAGGGATGCCCCAAGAGCGGCACAGGGTAACATAAGCAGGGGCATCTATCAGAGCACGCAGGACACAATACGTGTACCAGAAACATTAGTTCTACTTCTGCTGCTCCAGCCTCAACATGTTTGGGGAGGTAAGCAAGATTCATACTATTTATAGAACTTCTGGTAGAAGATTAAGACCAGTAGAGAATTCTGCAAAATTTTTCTTATGAACTATAAAATACCCAAGAGTCCTTCTTAATTACTAAAGTCTGAAATTAGAAAGTCCTATCTCACATAAAATTCAAAACTCCCAAACTCAAAATTTCCCCCTTCCCTCAGCTAGGCCCTGTTACAACTGGAAAGCTATTGGTGGAGGAGGACGCGGCCAGGATTTTCTTTCTTTCCAAGATCCTCCTCTTCTAGAGTGTTAACTTTGATTTCTGATCGGTCTGGGTTTTGATCAAGGGGTTGCTGGAAATTCACACACAATCCTCCCTCCTCTGGCTCACCACTTCCCTTTGTGCTGTTGGTAGGGATCTGGTTCAGCTCCTCTCTGTCAAGGACTGCTCATCTCTTAGATGGACTGAGTATAAGCTACCCTCAGCTCTCATCTGTGCATATGAACTACTTTTTGCTCAAGGCAAATATGTACCCTTTGCTCAATGCAGCAGCAAACTGTCCTTTAACATTGTGAAAGAAGCTTTTGTGTGAAGTCAAAAGTCAGGGGGGCAATGGTGTCTCTCAATGAAAGTGAACATATACCAAGATTTCCCAGTGATTTTGTTTTTAATTTGTATTTTGGTTTTTTTTCTTACCAGTAATCTTTTTGAAGCCTCTTTTAATAACAGCCGATGATGGGGCGCCTGGGTGGCGCAGTCGGTTAAGCGTCCGACTTCAGCCAGGTCACGATCTCGCGGTCCGTGAGTTCGAGCCCCGCGTCGGGCTCTGGGCTGATGGCTCAGAGCCTGGAGCCTGTTTCCGATTCTGTGTCTCCCTCTCTCTCTGCCCCTCGCCCGTTCATGCTCTGTCTCTCTCTGTCCCAAAAATAAATAAACGTTGAAAAAAAAAAATAGCCGATGAAGAGCTGATGCTCCCTCAACCTCTTTCTGGGGAGAAATGGGACTCAGGGCACCTGAACAACTCTCTCCTTTTATGCCCTTTCTGTGATTGAGTTTGATTTATATTAAAAGTTTTAAATATTTATTTTAAATGTTTACTGGAAATGTGTATCTTCATCTGACACCTCAATTGAGATT